CTTGGCTAAAAATGTATTTTAGAATTAGTTCAACTGGAGCAATATACCAAGTATAAATATCATAAAAATATTATGTGATTAAGAATGAATAATTGTATGGTACAGTGGTGTTTTTATACAACATAAAATTTCAGAGCATTAACAATTACGAAGTGGGAACCAAAATATTTAAATAAGGAATAAATATTCTTTTCACAAACTCCATTTCGAAATGAGAAAGAACGTCCTCTTACAAATCGTTTCAAAATTCTGACTTACTACCATCAAGAGATGCTGAGAAAATTTTAATGATACAATTGCAACAGTGGTGACGAAAAAATGGAAGATTGTACTCTGCAGTAGTTGCAAAATAAACTAAAATTTCTTCAGTCTAGAAAGCTTACCATTGTTTGGTGCTCGGAATAGTGATGTTTACGATAACCGTACAGACGACGGCGTCTGGGTCCACTCGCAATCAGACCGATAACATTGCACTTGTTGAACAGGTTCTCTACCATCACATTGTTTCGCTAACGTTTGTCACAGATCACTCTATGCATCCATCATTCTCATCAAGGGAATGCCCTTGCCTTTTTGAATATGTAGATATTAAAAGTACATAAACCAGAGATAAAGAATAACTGATTTTGTTAAATGAAGCATCTTGCCTCAGACATTGACACGTTACACATACGGTGCCTGGATAGTAAACGTATTACGTAGTTCAAATTTTCTATTATTAGAACGACCAAAACTTTTGTTATCTATAACAAGGGTATTCTAATATAAATCTATATCTGACAATAATTATTGTCGCATGCATTGTTTGACAAAAGTTAAGTAATTTTTAAACTTTTATAAAGAGAAGCAAGGAACCATTTTCCATTTTGAAATTAGTGAATCTTGTTTTTTCTTTATTCGAAAAAAGATCCAACAGCTTTGTAGCAAATAATACATATTAATGTTCAAAGTTCTGTGTAACGTTCATATATAACTACACTGTAAATACTTTATAATACATAAAAGATTGAAAAAGGGGCCTGTATTACAAGCAGTTTTACCAAGTAAGAGAAAATAAATTGGTGTTTGACAAAACCATTAAGCATCTAAAATAAATATGTACAGTTAGTTGGGATTGAGTAATTATTACACATTTACATAAATAAGATCTTTGAAACTGCTGGATTGATGTCATTCTTGCTTATCTGAAGATTATTAATGAAGTAAATAAAAGGACTGCTAGACTATTGATATAAAACTCACAACTTCGCTAGGTGAAATATGTAAATATTCATAATGTATAATGCGCCATTGTATCTTTAACAGAATTTAAATGGTTGTATTGATTACAGGAACGAATTATTGAAGTTATACGAATGAGAATAAGACTTGTAAATTTTATAGCTATCATTTGGACTTCCCATATACCTTTTCATTGCCAATATGTTATTTTTCATGAAATATCGTTTTCATCAATTAAGCATCAAATATAGGCGTATAACACCTAAAAAATAAACTATATTGATAAACAATTGAAGTGATTCATATGTTCCGGTTTCGTAGTAATTTTCATTTGGGAAGAAATACATACTTCAAAAATGAAAAATACATTTTTATGAAACAGATCTATGTATTTTTATGAACAATTTGAGTATATACACGTGCAGGATACAATTTTTTATACATTTAATACAAGATGCCTTTCTCCAATTTGACGTAGAATAATATACATATGTATAAGTAAATATCATTGAACTTCATTTGTAGAGCTAAGAATTTAAAGAACAATTTTTTCTGTGAAATAAATTTTTCATAGAACCGTTTTATTCAATAAACACCAGTAAGACATTAATTTATTAAAAGTTATACATATATACTTCGGTATACTACATAAAACATTTTTTCTACATACATGAATTCTGAATGTTATAAATTCTTGGTGCTTTGCAAATGTTTAAAAAAAAAACTTTACAAGTACTGAGTTTATTTTGATGTGTTCTAGGACTCTATGGCGTCTGCATCTAACGTAGATGAAGAGTACGATGACGGTGACGATTCAGACATATATATGGAGCCAGACGATGCAGATACAGATCACGAGGAGAAAGAGGAAGAAAAAGCAGGGAAAGAAGACGAAAGTCAGGAGAAAGCAATAGACGTGACACCTGAGAAGAAAGACGAAACAATAGATACTACTACAGCGAAGATTGTTTCAAAGGATCAGAAAGCAGAAAACACTGACGAAGCCAGTCAAACTGAAGTGACCGATCTCGAAAACAAGAGCTTGGAAACGGACAGTCAAAATTTCTTCCCCTCCTTCGCTGAACTCTTCGCCAATCACAGGCTCTCCTTCACAGAACAACGATACAGACCAAACAGATTCCTAGGGTACTTTCAACGCGATCGTAGCGGCTACCAAGCAGCAGCAGCAGCGGCAGCAGCAGCAGGAACCACAAAAGACGTTCAACACCCGCTGCTCGGTTCAGGAAACTTCGGTGTGATTCGAGGCGGTACTTACTATCCCGAGGAGAAAGAAAATGACGAGTACTCGACGGACGATGCTTCTTACAATCCTTATTACCGCGGCCGCGCGAACTACTACAGGAATCCGAAACCACAACCGATTCGTGGCGGGGACTTCTTCGCGAACTTCCGTGATTTCGCCGATATCACTGCTCCGCCGAAGTCCAGTTTCTCTCATCTATCTGTAGTTTACGCAAACAAGAACGGTAGCACGACCGGGCGTATCACCGAGCCAAGGAACATCATCGAAACGCTGAGGATGCTGGAAGAGGAGGGCCAGGCGAATTCGGATGAAGCCACCACGACTGAAGTGCCGAGGAAAAAGCAGAGCAAAGGCAAGAGGAAGCTGATCAAAATGAGGCAATACGAGGACGACAAGGCCAGAAGGTCTCGCATGAGCATGGAGCCATTGCTGGCGCTAAGCTGAACGTCCACGGTCACTCGCGTTGTGCGGTAGTGTGGATGCAGACTTCGGGACCCCTCCCAAAACGCGGAATCTGGCCACGAGATCAGAACCAAAGTCTGAAAAGTGTGGTCGTGACCCACTATCCGAGGAGCTGCTGCTAAACGCGAAAGGGACAACGATAAAAGGGGACGCTCGCATTTTTTTTTGTTTTTTCGGAACGATCAGAATTGTCACTGGTAAACCGGTCTAGATTTTTCGAATCAAATTCAAAACGCTCCACGGTTGGGTTCAATTGAATGAAGATTTTCGTTCTGCATTTTGTGCTTTTCACAATAGTGTTAACCCGGTTTGATACAATATTTTCATCTTGGTAGCAATTGAATCGATCTTATGGAATCGACGTATATACTCGTTTTCGGTGATTATAACGTATAATAAGCGATTGTTGATATTCCTATTTAAATAACAATTTACTTTCTCAGATCACCAATCGTTCTGTGGATATTAAGAGTGACAACAATAGTGCGTTTCTAAAGTTTATACATGGTATATTCGGGATAGTTTCAATTGATTCAAGTAACAAGAATATCTAATGGTTCGATATTAATAGTATTCTGTAGCGTATGATTAATTGATCGATAAGAATAATCACTTTATTACTTAGTATGTATTAAAATTTAATTAGATAATACTCAATGGATTACTGATCGAAAGTATCGGCACAAGAGTAATTCGATATAGTCGATTATTTTAAACCGGAATTCCTAGTCACGAAGGCAAAGCTCGTCGATGATCATTGTTATCGATCGATTAATTATAGAATTTTTATGCTCGACTTACCGTTTCGGCATCGGAAGCGTATATGTCAAACCCGTTTATCAGCAATTCACGGACACGTTTTAAATTGATCGAATGCATCGCGTGTGCAGCTTTCGTTATGCTAGAGTGAACCTCGGCCAGGCACGAGTAACTCATAAGGTGTGCGCCAACGTTAATCTCGCGTAACTGTGATCGTTTCACGCGCGAAAATTATGAAATTCGCGGCGTATACGTTCTCACGCGGCGCGAAATTTTCTTGTCCAGGCGGTGAAAATTTTTGCAGATCATCCGTTCATATGTGTGCCCCCGTTGTAAATAAATTGTACCGCTCTGCCTTGCGTTTTCTTTAGTGTTTTAACTAAAGCGGAACCCGGACTAACACTCGCACCCTCATTCGATGAGCATGTATTAACGTTCGTGGACATCATTTCAGTGTACTAGCTAGTAGTTGTAAAGTTAGGATCAACACACCGTAGATAAGTATGATGTATTCTTTATCGTTAAGCGCAGAATCTCTCGCCTACGTTCATCGAATTCACAAAGACTGTCAATTTACTAATTCTTATCGGCCTAACATAGTACGTATTGTTCATTTTATCCATGTAAATTAAAGTTATACATTTACGGACTTTTCTAATTGTGTCCAGCTTTATCCTTAAGCGATCTTTACACACAAATACCCTCGAATGTGTTATCCTTTTTCTTGTCAGGAGTTTCTGTAACAATACGATTCCTTACAGCAAGCACAGCGATGACCGGTACTGCATTTCATAAAATGAGAAATTATGAAACGTGCATACAGCATGGGCCCTTATTCGCTAGAAACTCGGTGCATTGTCTTTACAGTATTGTTGTTGGTTATTTTAAGCATTTCGGTAAGCGTAAAATAGCTGAAAGTTTTTTTCAAAGATTGTGTTTCCTACTGTTCGCATCTACTACAAGGGACACGATGAAGTATCGAAATAAAGTATATTTTTCATAAACCAGATGAATGAAAAAGAAAACCTACGATCTTTACTTACGATTTATGAGTAAAACATATACTCTCGAGGTAAGTAAATTATACCATAAATAAATTAACTAAATTTAATGAAAAGTTTGGAAATACTCTGGAAGTTATTAATTCCTGTATTTTGAGCTGTCCACAAAAATAGACACAGTGTTGACTTCGTTACACGATATTAGGTACAGTACGAAACTTGTGTTGTCAGAAACAAATTACTCGCACGCCTCTTTCAAGTATAACAAACACTATACATATAGTAAAAATATACTAGTTAATATATTTTTTCATCATGGAGATCAATTTTCCGATACCATTATGAATGTCTGCATAGGTGGCGCATCTATACATCCAAGCTGGTGTACTGAAAACATTATATTTTTTATCTCTCGTCACGCCCTTAACGCCTTTCATTTCGACTTTCGCTCCCATGTCTTTAGCTTGTCGAATCGCATCGGAATATGGCCAATCTTCTTTCGGAGCTATAAACAAAACGACAGTGAACAATGGAATTGTATCAAAGATAAAAAAATTCAAAATATAATTGTGTAAACATTCTTCGAGAGTTTATATACATATTATTTCAAGGTTTTCTCAAGTTTCTGCAGGTTTACTTATAGCTGTCTACTGTAATACTTGTACTGTAATACTGTCACACTCCAATTTTTATATAATGAATTTCAAGAATTCTGTGATTAGAATACTTTTGTTCTTGTGAGAGTCATATAAGTATTGAAATGTCTTTTTGGGATACGTTAAAAGTATTTTGAAAGAAAAATTGAATACCATTCTTCCTTATAATACAGCAGAAGTACTGTTAATATTTGATACAATTTACATATATTATTCTGAGATGAAAGGAAGAGAGTTAGGGGAATTTTTTTGTTAACTCACACTCTTTTCCAAGTGTAATTTTGACACCTTGCAGTACCCTCGCAACAAGAACACTTGCAATACAAATTGATCCTATTGGTTTCTTCGCGCAAGAAAAATCCTCGATAACTTTCTCTACATCAGGATTCACTACACAATCGGCGCCCTTTGACGCGAAATCGCTCCTTCAAGAGACATACAGGATATAAAGCAAATGCATTACAATAAAACACATACATACATTGTATCCTTAAAACATAACAATAGCAATTTTGCTTCTTGATATTGAAAGCTGTTTCAATTGTTTCAATTAGCGTAGTAAGTGAGAGTTAAGCGTTGTTTTATTAAACTGTTTCTCGACTAAATTCGAAATATATTCGAATACATATGATGTAGAATGGAAATGATGAATATTGTGCGAATCCACGTATATATGATACATTAGTTAACATACATAACAGGGTTATTCACATAAAGCTGCCACCTAATTTCTTGTAAACTGTTTGTTATATGAAAAAATGTTTCAAACAAAAGTTGTATGATATTAAGGGAGACACACAGTGTAGTAATTACTTTTTTACTATTTTGTTTTTTGATCGAGATACGAAGGTCGCCTTGATTTTTTTTTTATTGTAATGTGAAAAATTTGATCCTGCATTTGATTCTGTCTAACTTTTATTGCATAAAATAGCGTTTAGAGCTGTAAATTTTCACAAACATCTGCAGTCTAATTATGAATGACACGACATTATTCACGAGAAGCGTGTAGTTTTTATTCAAGTAGAAATTTAACAACTCTTCTTTCTAAATACGAAGCTTTGGTTTGAAAAATTATCTCTTTGAAAACTTATTTAATGTACATGCATTCAATTAACAATTACGCTTATATTAGATGTTCCAATGAATCATCGGCTGTTTTTCTAACTTTAGTATTTACTTTGATGGAACTGAAATGGTTAGACCGAATGAACGGTATTCACTATTGCTGTTCGTGGAAATGCACTATTTTTAGTAAATAACAACTCCGAAAGATATTTTGAATTTAAACTGCACTGCCATTTCGATAAAAAGAGAAGTAAATTGATCATACCCTTAAGTGGAAACAGTAACTAATAGACGGACACATTAACCAGGTCGCTTTCAAATGGGCTATCTGCTAAATGGAACATTCACGTTTGAATTTTGCGAAAATAAAGCTTCTTATACAGGGTGATCCTCTCGCTTTGCAAATCAAAGGCTGTGCCGATCTAAAGAACTGCCGCGTCGGCACGTGTAATTTGTCGACTGGTCCTCACTGTTGATTAGTGTTGATGACGCCTCGGGGCCATACACATACGCGCCGACAAGGCAGTTCTTTAGGACGGCACGGCCTTTGATTTGCGCAACGAAAGAATCACCCTGTAGAAAAAATTCATGGCATACTTTTAACTTTTAACTGACTTGGCAGAAATAATTACAACTAACCCCTATAAGAATCATGAAACTTTAATGCTTCGAATATTCCAATGCAACATCTGCATGAAACCTACGAAAAGTCATAGAAATTGATATGATACAAGAAACGCTCATGTGGTAGCAATTAGTATTTAAATTAAAAAAAAAAAAATAAACATAGCATTCAAGAATACAGTAATTCGAAACGTTTTACTTTGTAGAACAAGTATTTGGAATATTATTGATTGATAAGATAATTAGTTTCGCACATGATGTTAAATTGGAATATAAAGAACATAACGAAAGAATAATAATTTTCGAGCAGAAGATGTTACGTGATGTTTCAGTTTATAAATAACCTTTTGTGGAATCTGCTGCCGTGATTAGATTAAAAAAGTTTATTTACTTATGTAGCTACAATTTTATGCAATAAACATATTACTTTTCCATCTAGTTAGTCACTGATTATATAAATATATAATTTTTGCGGTGCATGTTTCTCTCAGGAAATGAGTAGTTACCGAGATTTTATTTAAAAGCCGTTACGCACTCACGACCAGGTCGTCGACAACCAATAGGTTCAAAAGAATATGTGTATGAGCTCGTACGCACATTTCGTGGCAACCATGCAAACACAAGTGACTCGTTGGTCGCGGCGACAAACGAAGTGTGTTGAATCAAATGTACGAGTTCACACGAGGAGCAACTTTCTAAGAGACCAGACGTAATAATGAGTTTTGATACATCGACATTCATTCTGTTCAACAGTCCCTACGATATTGACAACTTACGAGTCACCGAATTTAGTCGCAGAGTTCGGTTGCCTTATTTTTTATTCTTCGTTGACCAAGTCGCCGGAAAATGGTCGACAGTACGTAACGGCTCTAACTTTATGTTTTCGCTACTGACAAACACTTCTTTGGTAAAAAATTTTATATTGTCATGCAGCCCTGTTTTCAATCCAGCTATTTGTGTAAATAGAGGGTACTCGAAACTTTACTGTGTACATACTTTCTTGCTAAAGCAAGAAAATCTATCTTTAATTTTCTAGGCATCTTTTTTTATTTTTTAAACTTGTTCAACATTCTGTCTCGCCAATTCCAGTCATTATCGACCTAACTCGTCAAACACGACATTTTGTTATTATATTTTGAATTTTCTAAAGGTATCATTTTTATAAAAGTACATATTACAGTAACTTTACAAACACTTTGTACATACACGTCGGGTTTCACGGAATTTTCTTCAGCCGGATTTATGGAACGTCGATATAAACAAACACACAAATAGACGAATTTAGTAGTTGCGCTTCTTATCATCATCAAACATCCTGAACAGTATAGAAAAAATGATGGTACGAGCAGAATTTTTTATTTGCAGTGATTATAAACCTTAATATTTCCTGCTTTGTGTATATCGTCTGATTTTCAGTTCGAAACTTACAAAAAACATAAAGGATCATGTAATAACCTAACGACATCTTTTACTAATATAAATCATACACTATAGAAATTTGAATCTTTGGGACGGTTATGACATAAACGTGTACCATTTTTACGAGAACAAAGCTTCATACGAAAAAAATGTATTCTACGTTATGTGGGCACGTAGAATCACTTATTTATCGGTGGTACCTTTCATTATTGGATACCCTGTATATTTTAAAGTACCAATATTTTAAATAGTATTCCAGCACTTATATTATCATTATAATTCATATAACTCGTGACATAATTTCAATACTTTAATTTACAACACAATTTTTCGAAATACAAAACTTACATTACATTACATATATTGTCGTGTAGAATAAATATTTACAAGTACCTCCATTATTATTTTTGTTCACCACTAGATATTGCTGAAATGATGCTCAACTTTTACGGTACATTATCTGCTTTAAGTGATTTGGCTACTTTTTCTAGTCTAGAGATGTTACTTACTATGTTCCTTAGATTTTGTATAGAAGTACTAACAGTGTTTTTGCTGCGCCAAAACCTCCGGGAATAACGAGTGCTCCATGCCTGCAAGCGTCACATTTGCACAGCGGTTTTATTTCCGATCGAGCCAATCTGGCTGCTTCGACAAGCGCGTTTCTAGGGGATGCGTCCTTGTCTGGTTTCTCACATAAATGGTCGATAATTTCGCAAATTTCTACATCTGGCGCGTAAAACACAGGCTTCAAATTCTTCTGAGACAAGTGTATCGTCGCTGAAATGGCTTCCGAGATCTCAGTTCCGTCGAGGTAGCCGCAACCGCATAAAATCTACGATAAATATGATTGAAACTAAACGCACTGACTAAATAAATATTTCGGTTCTTTCTGGCCTTGCTAATATACACGGTGTATTCAAAAAGTTCCCGGATTTATATTTGCTACCAAAAAGATTTATAGGTAGACATCATTTTATTGTTTAATGTTCTACATAGTTTCCTCCTCTGTTGATACACTCTTGATGACGTTCATACAGTCGCCGGAAACATCTGGAAAAGTCTTCGACAGAAATACCCTTTAACGTCGTTGTCACTTTCCGTTTGATTGTTTCCTCATCCTCAAAACGAGTTCCTTTCATGGCTAGTTTCAATTTTGGAAATAGGATATAATCCGCTGGAGCCAGATCTGGTGAGTACGGAGGGTGCATTAGAACCGTGACTGACTTTTTAGCCAAAAATGAAGACACAATTAGCGATGTGTGAGACGGAGCGTTATCGTGTAACAGAAACCATTGACCGGACTGGTATTTTTTTTCCAAGTTCATCATGAAGGATAGCATGAACACTTCCAATACTTATTTTCAACTCCTTTGACAACATTTCAATGGTCATACGGCGATCTTTCATGAGGGGCTAACGAACTCGCTCAACATTTTCGTCCGTTCTGCTTATCGACGGACGCCCTTTCCTTGGGTTGTCTTCGAGTGACTTGCAACCATTCTTGAAACGTGAATACCGTTCAAATAGTTGCGTACGACGGAGACAGTCACTTCCATATGCATTTTGCATCATTTGGTATGTCTCTGTAGGACTTTCTCCACTTAAAAAATAAAACCGTATCGCAGTTCTTTGCTCCATCACAAAAATTATTAGAACAAAACAAAACTGACAAATTTTAAATGTGCTCTGCAGACAAACGACCAAAATTTTTTAAGGTTAAACGTAGCTAAGAAACAAAAGAAGATCTATAGTCAATAGATTTAGCCTTAAAACACAGATGTCGCCACCAGAAGCTATCATGTAATAACAGTCGGGGAACTTTTTGAATACACTGTGTAGATTGCCACACAAGAGCGTCTTGTACTATAAAAGATCATCCTTAGAGTGAAAGGGATTATCATAATTATTACGTTTGCTTAATCCTCTGCTTAGATCTGGTAAATTGTGACCTTAACTAAAATTTCGTATTACATGTTCAAATACTCCATGTAGGCTGCTAACTACTTCTCTTCATATGTATGTTCACTCTATTTTATTTTGTATATTAAATTTTGATCGAAAAATGCTATTGTCATATAAGGAATGAATGACAAGATAATAAAGTTGCAAATTTTACACACATAATCATACATAACCTGTACTTATTCTCATTATTGGCAAGCAAGTTTTTGTAGTCTTATCTGAAAAATATTCCATTTTATTTTCAATCAACTGTTCCCTTCTCGGATTCAAGCATTGACATTGATAATCCATATACAGGGTGTAACAAAAATGTTGGAGAAAACGGAAACAGGAGACTGGTCAGGTGATTTGAAACAAGTTTTTCCTTAGCAAAAATGTTATCCGAGTCTTTGTTAACAAGATATAAACGAAAAACCCCGACCAATCAGAGTGCGATTGGTAGCGTAGCCGAGTTCCCGCGGTAACATTGACTACGCGTTGCGATTGGTAGCCAACGTTACTGTGGGAACTCGGTCGGCAGATTCGCGCTCTGATTGGTCGGGGTTTTTCGTAAAATTCAGACCGAATTGCAAATGTCTGCTACATTTTGAATTAGAAACTTTTTAAAAAAATTGGTATTTCGTTATTAAAAGCATTGAAACGGCTCATGCGTAGTAGACGCATATCAATTTGTCTCATAGACACAAAAATTATTTAAAGCCATGCCCATACAATGTAATTGTCACTTGTAAATGGACGAAACAGATCCCATTGTTAGATACACTCGTAATAGCATTTATGCTACGTTAGTCTAATTTTTACGAAGATATTGCCACTAAGCTCCTTTGCAACAGACTGAAATTATTGTATAATTATTTCGAAAAAATCAGGCCGATAAACGAATATTTCTTATAGCAACAATTTTAAGCACGCAGCAACAATCATTCAAATGTATTTTCTTAATTTTTCGTAAATTCTGCATCGTCCTTAAATACTACATATCACATATTGACTTACGTAATGGCTCGAATATATGCACGTGTATGTACGTAGATTTCTTTTTCTTCGCATAAATCAAATCGAAACATATAGTTGCAGGGGAATATAAAACCGAGTTTTAATTGTCGAATATTTGAAACATTGAAACTAAAGTTTACCGTTTCCTGCTTCGTAATTGCCTAACATTTATGAGTCGCCGTTTAGCAGCCAAGAGTAACCAATCAAACGTATTTTAAAGTAAAAAGTATCTTCTACAAGGAAGTGAACGCAGAATTCGCGGAAATAATCAAGTCTACAGACATGAGTACATTCAATCTTCTGCATAACGTTCACTGTTTTCTACAGAATTTTAATTTCCAGCACATGTAACAGTTGCGTAAACATTATATGAATAAAAAATAAACGCGAAACATTAAGTAACTAATTGAATGATGCTAAACGTGTTTAATGTACTAATGGCTATTATTGTATAAGAACGTACAAGTTGCAAAATGTCTCCTAAACTAGAACTTACAATAATCAATCTTTTATTGCTACATTTCTTATAGAATATATTAAACGTTAAGAACATATACATGAAATATTAAACAAAAATTCGTAAAATTAGCAAAGATATGAGTGCTAAAATATAACCGTGTGATTGTGTTAAAATACACTAATGAAACAATCAATTTTCATGAGAAAAGTACAACGTTCCTATGTACAAACACATTTTTAAATTAAAGAAGGCACACTTAAGTGTAACATTTAATATCAAAATGGTACAGATCAGAAGAATTACACATCGTGAGCATAATAATTGTATATGTCCTACCGTTATTTATACTAATTCTAAAGAAGCAAAACTAACTTGTAGACATAAAAGAGCAACATAGACTAAGATAAATTTACTAAACGAAAAATCATTTATTAGTCATAATAATTGTTCTTATGAAAGAATAAATTCACAATATTGCTGAATATTACAAAAATGAAACTTTAAAGTTACTTTTTCTAAAATGACTTTTCTTGAGTAAGTGTCTCTAAAGTTAATGTAATGGAACCAATGTTCACGAAATTTATTAACATTTTCTTTATTTTATATTTAAGTAATGTAAAAGTAATGTAGTCTGTGCAACATTAAGTATTAAGATGAACCCACAGTTTATTAAATATATTACATTTATAAAACGTCTTCTAAACTTTATTATTGAAATTCAGATAGGACTTAATAAAATTTTAAATGTACACTAAATTTAATTACCAAAAATCATCTAAACTATGATGATTTTAAACAAAATAGTGTTATATTTTTAAATGTATATGCAACGAAAAAGAAAACATGGGACAAACTTGCAAGCTTTTAAAAAATTTTAATCAATACTGCTGTATTTCATGATCACGTGAAAAATACTAGTGGATTATGATACATGAAATTATTTTATTATAACCACGGATCATATAGAATCAATACTGCACATATTTTCTACATTATTTAAAAATAAAAGTATCCCAATATCTTAGCATTGCCGTTAACTAACTGAATTTATAAGTTCAAAACAATTTTAAAGTTACCTATAATGTTGCTATTAGCGAAATAAAAATATGAATGTAAGAATATATAATTTCATAAAAATGGACATTGACAAGTTTGACTTATTTTGTGGAAATTATTTAATTCATCTTGTGTAAAACAAATTAAGAATCGTATGTATATCATTGTGGCAATAAAAAAGCTCCTTAACCTGTGAAGGTAAACAACGTTGGTTTATATAGGCAGTAGGTAGGCTAAGAATTTTATAGACCACATTATTATACTTAAAGCTACACCCAATATTATCGTGTGAACTTACAACAGCTACGGGTATGGGGTCACATTTATCGTGTTGCATCCTGTTAATAGCTTTAGTCGTACTGAAACTGGACAATAAAGTAGGTGCAAGCGTAGAACAATCATTTTGCAATAATTTTAGAAATTGGTTACGTAACATACTGCAATTTTCCGCGGTTTAAATTAAAAACCGCTAAGAAACTAGTTTTTAATCGAAACTACATTTAACAAAAAGTTTTAAATGATGGATTCCTCCATGTTACAAATTCCCATTATTCAATTGTTTTCGTCCTACAGAAAACCTAAGAAAGCATCTATACTATGTTTGTAGCAAAAGCATAATTTTTAATACCGTAGATACGATTCTTCGTAGAATTGAACCATCAGATTTCTGTTGGTTGACACCAGAGGGCAGATTTATTCGGAATTACACGAAGAGTCCTCGATGTACGTTCTGTGAATTATCTCGACGCGGCATTTGCTCGATCGGTACGGTCGTTTTGTGGTTGTCCAATATGGTTTGAAGCTGTACTAAATGATAAGGAACGCTCAGAAAAGTGCAGAAATGAAATATGAGAATAGAGGCAAAGGGGAAGGATCAAGTTAATAGAAACTACGAAGGATCTCCCGTGCTTAAATAAACATCGGCTACGTAGGCTGAACTTACTTTATGGATCGTATAACCTTTATTGTGCTCTTGGAGCAATTTTCGCACAGACTATGAATACGAAACACATAATGGGGAACAGCGGAGAGATTTAACAACACCATGAAAAAAAACACGTAATAATAAATCCTCGCCAGCTCATTGAAATATACAATGAGACCCAAATCTTTCGGGAAAATAAGTCTTTCCTTAAATTTACGAACTGTGCATTAAAAACGATTATAACTATCGTACTGTTAGAAAAAAATTTAATTACAAAATTCCAGTACAATTATGGAGAAAATAAAAAACATTTTATGTTAAAGAAACTCCTTTTTATTCTAGCTAGAAATATACTACATAATAGTTCTGACATTTAAAATTAACAACTACCCTTCGTACACGTAATAATTATTCAGTATTTGAATGATTGTTTCCGACGAAGTAATATTTGGAAAATTTGTGCCTAAATCAAGAAATGCCGTTTTTGTATAGAGAATTTATGAAGTTCTGTAAAGAGTTCTTACCATTTTTAGTCGACTGTAATAAATATATTTTTTAAAATAAATAATTTCAACTACAATAGTTTGCACTATATTTAATTACCCATTCCCACCATTCAAGCTCAAGTTTATACAATTTATAAAATTTATACAAATATATACAGTTTATGCAAATGTATACAATATATGTAATTTATACAAATACATAAAATTTATCCAAATGTATATAAGTTATACAAACGTGTACTTTCTATGGTAAATTCAATTCTTTTATTCGTAAAATGAATTAAAGTATTTTCTATATTCATCTGGTATTTACTTTCTGTTTATTTAGCAATAAACTACAATAATGTTACACAATAACAAAAAGCATATTTTAAAAATTCTTCATGTATATATGTAGTACATATGTTAATTGCAAGCTACTTTTAGTGATTTCCAAACAAATTTAAACTCGTAAAGTAAAGCAATGCACACTATGGTATACAGGGTGTTAATTTTAAATCGAGCATCTAAATTATATCCGCTACTAGTAGTAAATATTTTTTTATAACGTGATGTTGTAGTCGGCGTCAAGTTAAGTTCGACGACCTACACACCATGACCTTGTACTGACCTTGAAGACAACAAAATAAGTATCATTTTAATCACCTTATTTTATCAAATGTTCAAAATGGTGGCGGCCCAGGTAGTAACAACGAGGCCAACGATCATATCTAACGTAGGGCCCACGCCACTATAATAGGAAGGGCCAACTGGAGGTTTCTTTCTGTAGGGCCATTTGTTCAGTATCTACAATAAACCAATAATAGGAATACAGTTGGCTCTACTACACTTCCATACAATCCTTTAAAAATATTTGAAGGAGTATAACACTGGAAATAATATTTATAATAATGACTTGTTACAATAATTATATACATGTATATATTACATATGTACATTAAACAGGTAAACAAGTGTTTTACCAGCAAAAGTTACCTTTACAATTTATTATGTACAATTTACACATGTAGGAGCGTTGAATGGAGGGCCCGATCCCACACTCGGCCATTCTGCACTGACATTCGCGCTCGAATGTCTTCTGCGTAGACGTCTTCTTTCTTTCCTCGTTTTTTCGGGTAACACTCTCGCACTTGTTGACTTCTGGGAGACGTGCTCCTCACTTCATCGTCGTCGTCGCTTTGTGTGGTCGTAAATGCCTCCATTGCCGACGAGCCCCTAAATATAGGAGCGTTGGAAAAATAAGAGGGCCCAAGCGGGATTCGAACCCACGACCCCCGACGCCGCAAGCCTGGACTATACAGTCTACACTCTGCTCCACGGAGCCCTCCTATTTTCCACTGATATTATTTGCTCCTTCTGGTTGGGTATGGAGGTCCCGATCCCACATACATGTAGCTAATTATTACAAATAATTATTATAAGTTATTTCCAATCTTCTGTCCCCTGACACTATTTTCACAAAATGTCAAATGTTAAAAGTGTTGCGCGCCAGTAACAAATTGTGAGTATATTCATAAATATCGAAAACAAAAAAATCAATTTGAAATATAATAACAAGTTTTTGGTTGTAGCAACGTTTCTGACGTCTTTAAGACGATATTTAAATTTTGGCAAACTTTGGGTGAGCCAATGTTGTATTATCGTTGTAAATTTCTTATTAATTAACCAACTATAATAATTGTAGGTCCAATGTTGAATATTCGTTGGCAAATTGTCATAACTTTTCGTCGTAGGCCCTATTTTGGGAATTTGTTAGCAAAAACACTAACCATATCCCAATTAACTCCCAACTGTTGGCTACCGTTAGCCAACCATAAATGCTACTAGGGTTCGACCGCATGAAGACACGTCTACACATGATAAGTGAGTAATTGGAATTTTATGGTTATTACAAATATAATTTGCAACCATATGTGAAATATATTTTTTGTTAAGTGTGTGATTTAAAGACGTCAGAATATTCTATGGAACTGGAGTATTTTAGAAAAATCAATAGATGGATCTGCAAATATTTTGATACATTACGATAATTTCATGATTAAAATTATTATATTTTGTCGCAGCTCGCTATTTGTCTGTATACTAAAATATAAATACAAGTTCAACAGTATTTGTGTCCAAAATAACAAGCAATTCCTTTGCCGTTTATGATTAGGAATATGTATTTTATACTCTCTTTCTCTCCTAAGAAAAAAATATTCTTTAAGTTTCGTAATATAGTATATTCGCATTGTATCCACAATTTTAAGATATCTTAAGTGATTGTACTTACAATAGTCAGTACATGATTATTAATTATATTTATTTTTGATAACACTTCTTAAAATCGGAGTTTTAGATTCAAATATTTGAACATCAGGTACAGTAAATAAATAAGGTAAAGCATAGAAACAAATATATGCATCATTGTGTATTCACTCAGAAAATACACTAGGGAACCAAGGGTGGAGTTATTATACACACCGGTTGTTTGTTTTAAAGGTATAGAATGTGAGCTATATGTACATCAATATTGGAAATATGCATGATTGTAGCATATACCTATATAGTTACGTAACCATATGTAGTTTATTATAACTGTAAACTATGCAAGTTTAGGGATAAGAGTACTTCAATTAAAGTGTCCAGATTTTAAGAAACAAACACGGTTATTAAGGTCATGTTGCACCAAGTTTTCTGGAGGTAATGTAACTACTGTGAAAGTTTTATTTATCATGAAATATTATTAACATTATGGTAAATCGAAACCATATGTCACTACTTTTCAATCTATCTGGCTCACTTATTCTGTTCAAAGGCCATGGAAGTAAGCTGGAACAATTGTTGATCTAGTGTTCGTTACCATTACGATCTTCTTTTTCAAAACTATACTACAACTGTAACTATTACATATATTAATTAGAGTATAATCTTCATACGTCTGCAATGTTGAAACAGTTTTTAGCAAACTGTAGTGTTAAAAAAAGGCATAATCCAGTTACTCGATCGTCAATAAGTATAACTGCAGAAACGCTTTCGGCAGCTAAAATTATTCGTTCCGAATTTGTTTAATAAGTTATAACTGGAAAAATGTATACAATATTCCTGAACGATTGGATGAAATTTCGCTAACATATTTTTAAATATGTGTTTAATTGAACACAGAAAATATTATCCATTCACATGGACGGCACTATATGTTGAAAGTAACAATTCAAAAGATATCCATAATATAATCAAATTAACACAGCATTAAACTGTAGGTATATGTATACGTACTGACAAGAACATAAATATTTAATTTAATATCCATCAAATTTGATTGCAGATTATAAATAATGAGTAATTAAATATTGAAATACATTTGTTTTCTTGCGTAAAGAACGTACTGTAAAATTTCTGTTTATGAAAATTCTGAGACGTATGGAAATACTTTGTATTAAACGTCTCTATACTTCTCCCGATAACTTAAATTTCTTATATTAAATGAAACATAATGTCAAAGTTAAAAATGTTCATATATATTAAATCAATGTTACTCCTCGTACATTTTAAGTTCCCTTCGTAAACTATTAGTATCATAGGACTGTGGGAATACTAACATTGGATACAGTGCCCAAAAATTTTTGTGTTCAATAGAAATTACAATTGATGATACTATACCTAACGTTCTGGTTTCAACATAAATGGTGGCATAATATAAAAATACCAATTTACTGATAAGTGACACTTGAATGGTACTTAATTAAACGAAAGTGTCTGTCTGTGAATTATACACTCATGTTTTAATACCTTTGCACAATATTACATTCAAAACTTCGAGTTTTTGTTCCCAAATTTCTGTGGATATAACTCGACCAGCGACCCGTCGAAATACACTCGATACCCAGAACTACAAAACAGTTTTGCGCACTCTGTTCCAGAGTCAACCGCTAACACGATATAAAAATGTCTACATTTCTCATTGTTTTCTTATGAAAAATTTACCAACGTATTAGAGACGTTTAAAAAACCTTCAAACGGATAATTTAAACTTCTATGGAAGTACCTAATGTATAACAACGTTGTGTTTGGTCTTGTTTTCATGTGAAAAACTTGACTGATCCAATGATAAAAGTTACATAATAAGAAATATATATAAGTTTCTGTATTATATATTAGTAATTGGCAATCGTATATACTTTGTGTGGGACTACTTCGATGTCTCGGAAAACGTCCGTCGGATACACCGCTAGCGCTGCATCTCATTCATTCACGCTCTGTTTCATTTTCTATCCTTGCAGGCTGTTAGATACCTCTCTAAAGCTAGATTCTGATAATGGTTTTTAACCCTAACTGCTAGTTAACCCGTTCGCAATTTCGTATATAATTACAAGTATGGAATTATTTGTTTTGAGGGAAATTCAAACAAGTAGCATGTCAAAACTGTTCAATTTATCATAGATATTAATAAGAGCGGCTGAAGTTTATTATTAAAAAACATCTTCTTACTTCATGGTACCTTACGATATTTCTTTGATACCGTCAGAACGCAGACTTTTGGTCTCGAGGTGTTTTATTCACAACATGGAAACAACAACAGCAGGTCGCGGAATGTCTCGAACACGGTGCCCTAACAAAGGTAATGGTTCGCGAGTTACCTCGCCAGTCATCGTAAAGTGAAAGGGTGATTACGAAATAACGCCTTACTCTATGATTAACATAACACTTAAGTTTGTTAATAATAATGGAGTCTTACGTTGAACACAAATTGAATAGTAATATAAATGTAAGATACTTTTACACGTGACTCGCACATCGTGCTCACATAACACACTCTGCTGCATGCTAACGTACTGCCATCGTGTGGGCGGAAGGAAAAATAACATAAAAGGAACTATTATAATAACTTCGATTAGCTGGAAGAGCAAACTACGCTTCATAAAGGGATTAAAATTTATCACACGCGGTGCAAGCATTAAAAAGGTCCTACATATAGAGTAAACGTGTTTTGCTTCAATTCCTTGTTACAAGTAAAAGTAATACAAATTCCCTACTTCACTTTCTTACGTTATCAATATAATAGGACATCTTGTTACGTCTGTTAGAAGTATGTAGGAGGGTGAGTGAATAAGTAAGTTACACCTCCCTGCAACTTCCGTTCTAAAAAAAACATGTAATTGTCGCTAGGTGGTTACACGGATAAAATATTGTTGTTGACGCATAGTAAGTTTCAACTCAATTGCGTCAATCAGTCGTATAGGATTGTAAATTAAACATAGACCGTTATACAAAATGTCATTTTCGTTATACGAAAATAATAATCGGAGTTCAATTCATCATCGAGAATTAATATCTCTGTAATAAATTACTCCGAGTCGTCAGTCAGTGATTAAATGGTGCAAAGCATTTAAAAATGGGTGTGAGGTGATTGGGGAGAGTTCCCCTAGTGGCGGGCTTTAAAGTTTCTTTCGGATAATTACAAAATAATGTTTTTTAATTATGTAGAATAAAAAGAAATTTTTATTCTACATTAATTTCAAGTTAACAACAATAGAAATCAAAGTAAAAGGACAAAATTACCAATATTATCATAATATTCAAATTAAATTAAAACTAAACTTTGGTATACGATTTTAAAGGGACATAAATGGTACCTAATACCGTACATAGCAAGAGTCAGTAACCTAACGCATGACAGCTTTAAACCAGTTTACAATGATCACAAGATTGGTGATATACATTTATGTTATACATTTAATATAATCATAGGAACACTCAGGAATATCGGCACAAGTCTCGTGAGTGCATTCTAGACAACTGGAGCATTGAATCGAGTTTTCATCATTGCCCCCTAAGCAAACTTTGTGTATGTTTTTCGGTGTCCAATACTCTGGTTTGTTTTATCTTCTTGGGTATATTTGTCTATGTAAACTCATTTCCCAAGTTTCTCTTCTGTTCTTTAATCCTTTCGCGTTTCAATTACCCAACATATAGCTAAAGTCCGATACTGTGCACCGTCCGGGGCTAGTCTAACTCCTGATGAGTACTGCGCAAAAACGTCCGGCAATTGCGACAACACGCATTAGAACGCAAATTTTTTGAAACCAGAATTCGTAAATTAAGTCCTCGTTGCGACAAGTGCTTACAGAGACTCGGACACTGTATTGTGAAGTAGTAGCTGGCTGTCAGTTTACATTGGTAATGAAAAACATTTCTTACTTTCGCTCGGATTTTCTTTTAG